TAGTACGCTACAGAGTGCAAGACCCACTGAGTGGCAGCAGACATCTTCCGTTTCAACTCATCCTAGTTCCGATCAGCAGCACTTGGGGTGGCCCCAGCAGAATGCGAATGTCTGGCCAAAGTTGGATGAAATTGCACCGGCAATGGATAAGCCGTCTACTTGGTCACAGGGACTCACATGGTGGCAGCCAAAAGAAACCACCTGGTCGCAACACAAACGACCCACTTGGATGGAACAGAAACAATCGCCGTGGTCACAGACACCACTGTCTTTGCTGTCGGAGCAGGAATGGCCCAGGCTGCCGACGAAAGAGCCAAGAAAGTCGTTGTGGCCGGATCTAACCGACCAGAGATGGGCACCTCCTCCTGATGTTCCTATACTTCTTTTGCATCTAATCAACTGCGGAGACGTGAGTTCTGCATAGCATCAGGTAAACACAATTATTATTAATAAAGATCACTTTGTGTTCAGGTCCAATGTGAGTATCGTGGCAAACCTCACATGCATAATAATGACTCATGCTGGCTTTTCTAAAGATTGCAGCCCATGATCTACTTGTAGTGAATACTGTAGGCCTGAATGTGTAGTCTAGTTGTGGTTCGGCTTAAGTTTGTACATGGTGAATCTTAGGTGAGATCTGATTCTGTAAATAGTTTCATGTAATTTTCTGTCCTTTGTTAAAAGTAGGTGAATCGTATGTTTTTTTTCAAATTTAAATTCTATTTTGTGCATTTTTGACTTTTATTCTTTCAAGTGGTAGATCTCTGGAGTTTCAAGTTACTTTTCCTTGATATCATCATTGTTTCTTCTGTTGTTCTTTTCTGTGCAGATTTCCACTCATTGAAGGATTATGAATTTGATCGTGAATTTATCGAGTCAGTTGTTTCCTTTCTTTACTATTTACTATTGTTCCGTTATTCTGTGCCATAAAAGTTTGCAGTTTCTGGATTTCTGTCAACGTTGTCCATAAGTGGAATCGTAACTTCCTCTAAATAAGAACAATTTTTCTAAACACGAAAATGGCTTTAAAATTTATCTATTGTTGGAGTGGTCTTCATCACTTTGCAATGTTGCCGAACTATGACACCTAAATGTGATAATAAATCAATAAACTATCCTGGCTAAAACTGCAAATGCTGTTATCGGGTTATAAATGCTCATTACTTTTATGATAATTATAAAGCCGATATGGATCCTAACCGAAATAGAGTAGGAGCTCAACGTAAATTCCGGACTACTTCGCAGTTTTTTCTATTTGATACATGATGATAAGCATATTCAACAGTGTCGAAACTTTCATTTACTCTCTCTTTCTCTTTTACTTCACATATAATGAATGAAATTTTGAGCAACAAAATAGATTCATCATGTATTTATAGAGATCATACAATTAGACGCTGTACAGTGCAAAAGAACGCAACAATCTACAAGTATTTAGGATCGTTCAGTTCCTTGATTTCTCTTGTCACAAATGACATTCCATCGGATGGTAGTGGACTGGAAATGAACGGACTGATGAAAACCAATGGCCATCGGGAGCCAAGGCACTGACGTAGATTGTCAATGAAACCAAGTTGGTACGCATGGATTTCCTTTAAAAAGAGAGAATTTCGAGATAAACTTTCCAATATGAACCTTTCAAAGAAAAGCTCGTCTTTAACTAACCAACAGATACTCCATCCTTGTTTGACCATTCCAAAGACAAAATAGCTGTGCGGAGAGAAGATACGATACAAATAAGAGTACAGTAAATGTAGACGCACAGAAGACTATACAGAAGAACTGATGCACTGAGATTACTCTGTAAATGGAGACAGAGTTCCTGGGAACACTGCAACAGCTTATGTCTCACAGCTTACCTGGCCATCAAAGCTATGTGAGGCAAAAAGAGCTGCCATGAACGGCTCAAAGAAAAACCTCCGTCCATTCGAGTCCAAGCAAAATCCCAAGTGTAGCTAAAAAATCAAGCACCATTAACAGTTTCGGAAACGTAGTTTCAAATCTGCAAATTTACCTGAACAATGGAAGCATCAACACAAAAAGATTAGTAACGGCGGCGATGAAATATCTGAACGAATGTTTTACGGATGCGATGAATGTAAAATACTTTATAGAGAAAACAGAATTCAAAACACAACTTCAAGATTCAGAAGCCCTCAATAAAAGTTTCGCCCTCAAGATTCATCAATAACCGCCGCCATTGACAAGCATTCACACAAAATTGCACAATATATGAAATGAAACGTGAACGATAAATCACACTCACCTTTGATTGAAGTGTCCTACACAAACGGCACCAAATGAGCAATGATGGTCTCGACGGAAACAGCAAACGTCACACACTAGATTCAGAAAAAGCTTACGATAATAAAGTTCTAATTCGAAAAAACACTATTCCAAAATTTGATGCTTCCAACAAAACCATTAAAAGAGTCCTAGTTATTACATACAATGGGGCCACTGGCATACGGTTGAGTGTGTCAAGTTAAATTCCAATAAGTGGCTTAGACAAGAGCTTCAATACACTGACTGTGTAATATGTTGCGAAGCAAGTCTTTGTTTAATTACCACGTTAACAGATAGAAGTTTCTTCTTTGATAAAGCTGTTTTTCAAAGAAAATCGGCTTGTCCGTTTTTCGAAAGCCAGTTTCACCTTACACTTTCCTTAAGAGCAAAATTTTTAGACTATGGACTGCACATGTTAGAACTTCGTAGCGGACGTATGATCCAATATGACACTACAATAAAGGGTACCATGCTTACATCATGACAGATGTTCAATGTTCCTACTCGACACACAGATAAATTACCCGTCCGACTTTGGATCACATAACGAGAAACATGAGGAACCCTTTCGATTAGAACAGTGAAAATTGAACTTACCAGGACAATGATAAGCTCGAGGTGGTGCATTTAAATGACATGAGTGGCAGTACCTGTAAAAAAAACATTTCCGTTATACCGTTCTTTCAATGATTATCAATCATTCCAAGTTATCTATTAATAATATACGTAGAGCCTTTCAAGATAATTTGTTACGAAAAGGGGCCTTTTGACTACCACCATTTAAATCCCACTCAAAACCAATACTATGTCTTACCCATTTTAACTCACAAACATTATAATGA